TGCTGCTGCTGCTGCTGCTGCTGCTGGGGGCCCTCTGCTGCCGCTCGCTGCTCTCGGCTATCCGCATGTATCAGCAGGAGGAGGAGACACGCAACACAGAGGCATTCGATGTTGTCTCTTTCAGTACCCAAGAGTTGTTGCGAGGGGCCCCCGGAGGGGCCCCCAGGGGGGCCCCCAGGGGGCCCCCTTCACGGGCTTGGGGGCCCTCCGCCTGTGGAGGAGGGGACGGGGAGCTGCAGCTAGGAGTGCGGGACTATCTATCTCGCAGCAGCAGCAACGACAGCAGCAGCAGCAGCAGCAGCAGCAGCAGCAGCAGCTATAAAGGCAGAAGTCTGCTGCTGCGGACGGAGGCTACTCACAGCCTGTCTCCGTCTGAGGGTCTCCTGGAGGCAGCGGAGACACNCTGCTGCTGCGGACGGAGGCTACTCACAGCCTGTCTCCGTCTGAGGGTCTCCTGGAGGCAGCGGAGACACCGAGGGAGCAGCTGTCTCTTGCAGCAGCAGCAGCAGCAGCAGCTGCTGCTGCTGCTGCAGCCAGAGACACAGGCAGCAGCAGCACACGCAGCGACGGTGAGACGGACGAACAGCAAGAGCAACAGCAGCAGCAGCAGCAGCAGCAGCAGCAGCAGCAGGAGCAGCTGTTGCCGCAGCATGATTACCTTGTTACAGCCAACAGGGGGCCCCCACAAGAAGAGGGTTCAGTGGACTTCATGGGGGCCCCCCTTGTGGTGTCTCTGGATGCCGAAGACAGACTGCTGCCGATGACGCACATATCTGCCTTTGCTTCTCACGACGGTGAGGGGGCCCCCGCGTCTCCTGGGGGCCCCCCACTGTCTGCGGGGGGCCCCCGCTTCAGCCTGGGTAGGGGCTGGTGGCGTAGAGCCAAGAGCTTAATAGCAGCAGAGCAGGGGGCCCCCAGCAGCAACGAGTTTCTCGTCGGCCTGCATCCGGGGGGCCCCCATGACAACCCCTTTGCTGACCCAGCTGAAGACTACTTTGTGCAGCCGCCGGGGGGTACAGTTGGGGGCCCCCCTGCTGCAGCAGCAGCAGCAATCGATGGAGACAGAACTCAGAGACCCCTGGAGCAGCAACAGCAGCAGCAGCAGCAGCAGCAGCAGCAGCAGCAGTGGGGACAGGGGCTGTGGTGTCGCTGCGTTGCTGCTGCTGCAGCAGGGGGACTAGGCCTCAAAGGGGCATGCAGGCGGCTGCTGTCTTCGTCTCCAGTGAGGGAGCCGCAGCATCATCTGCTGTCTCCTTTGCTGCTGCTTGTTGTTGGTTGCAGCCTTTCTTCTCATGCTTTGATTGCTAGGGGTTGTTGGGGTTCTGCTGCTGCTGTTGCTGCAGCAGCAGCAGCAGCAGGAGCGGGGATACAGATATTTGTCTCTCTTTCTGTTCTTAGAGAATTCAAGGCAGCTCATCCACACTTCTCGTTTGCTGCTGCTGCTTCTGCTGCTGCTTCTGCTGCTGCTCTCCGTCTCCTTACCCAAGGCCGTGCTCTTGCTGCCAGCTGCAGCAGCAGCTGCTGCAGGGTATGCAGAGCAGCAGCACGAGGGACGCTGCAGGGTCTCCGCGCCTCAGCCCGCTTGCTGCAGCAGCAGCAGCAGCAGCAGCAGCAGCAGCGGGTGACTGGGAGGAGGCAGCAAGAGAGCGCGCTGCTAGAAGGAAGGGGGGCCCCCTTGGGTTCAGTGGAGATGGAGACCCTGTCAGCGGGGGCCCCCGAGGGGGGCCCCCATGCATCTTCTTCTCTCTCATCTGTCCCCTTTTCTCCTCCGTTTGCTGCTGCAGCAGCACAACAAGAAGGAGACAGTGCAGCAGAAGAAGCAGAGCTGCTGCTGCGGGCGTTGCTGGTTGCCCCGGTTGTGGGGCTGCTTACTGGGGTGCTAGCAGGGCTGGTGGGTATAGGGGGGGGCCTCATATTTGCCCCTGTGCTGCTGCTGCTGCAGCTAGACCCTGTAGTTGCTGTAGCTACATCATCAGCTTGTGTTGTATACACCTCATCAGCAACCAGTCTGCAGTTTCTGCTGCTGGGTAGACTCTATCTGCTGCCTTGTCTTCTCTTTGGTAGCACTGCAGCAGCAGCTGCTGCAGCAGGATGTCTCGGGGTACACGCTATACGCAGGCTCTGTGCAGGCAGGAGAAGCTATGTTGCTTTTCTTGTTGCTGCTGCTGTTGTTGTTGCTACTCTAATGACACTCAAACGCTACTTCACGGGGGGCCCCGTGTAGCCTCGACCCCATCAGTGCGCAGCGGCAGTGGGGGGCCCCCTGGGGGGCCCCCTGGGGGCCCCCTCTCTACCAGTGAGTGGCAGGGCACTCACTGCCTCTGGGGGCCCCCAGGGGCCCCCCCGCTAGCCGTGCTGTTGGTGCCTTTGGGGGCCCCCTGGGGCGGCTGCGCAGCTGGCTGCGTCAGGGCTGCTTCAAGGGGGCCCCAAGGGGCCACCTCCTCGGTACCCTGTCAGTGCTGCCTTTGGGGGCCCCCTCGGTAGCCGTGTAATTGCTACTTTTGGGGGCCCCTAGGGGCCCCCTAGGGGCCCCTGAGAAACTCACTGCGTCAGGGTTGCCTCTGGTGGGCCCCCAGGGTTCACTCGGTGCTCTTCACAGCGCTACCTTTGGGGGGCCCCCCGGTACCCTTCTCAGTGTTGCCTTTGGGGGGGCCCCCAGGGGCCCCTGAACAGCTGACTGGGTACCACGTGCTTGGTAATATATATACAGTGCAGGCAGACAGTGCTGTGGGTCGCTGGGGGCCCCTTAGGAGAACAAACCCAGAGATGTGTGTGAGCGCAGCAACTTTTGAAGGGCCCTATAGAGGGGCCCCCCCTAGAGGGGGCCCCCCAAGGGGGGCCCCCCAAGGGGACTGTTGAGGTACCCTGTGGGTACACCAGTAAACCCTAAACCCTCAGGATGATGATACATTGAGTTAGCCAGAGCTGCAGATACACCCGGAGAGATGTACCAGCTCCTGGAGGTCTTTTGCTGCATATATATATATATATATATATATATATATATATATATATATATATATATATATGTATAGAGAGAGAGAGAGAGGGAGAGAGAGAGAGAGGGACATTGCAGTGTATAGGCTTGTGCTATCACGAGAGGAGCCGTAAGCAGAAGAGGAGACACCCCAGAGGTGAGGAGACACCCGAGCTGTGTCTCCTGTCTCTGTCTCTGTTCTATAGCAGCAACACATAGAAGGGGATTTATTATAAATAAAATAAATAAAAAGTATCTCTGTTTCTTTTTCTTTCTTCTGGGTTTTTTGTTTTTTTTGTTTGTGTCTAGCATAGAGATGATGTAATACTTGGTTGGGCCTATCTATATACTGTCTCCCCACCTGTCTCCTTTTACGGTGTGTGTGTGTGTGTCTGTATTCTTTTTTGTTCTTCTTTGTTTCTTATATCCCTTTGCTGCAACCCAAGGAGATAGGGAGAGAGAGGGGGGGCCCCCTCACTCTCTCACTGTGGGGTTCAGGGGGCCCCCCAAGAAGACGTGCACACGGGTAGGGGGGCCCCCGCAGCATACTGCCTTCTCCAAGTGTCTCAGGTATATTGTCTGTACTGAAAAAACTTCTGCTTCTGTTGCTGCAGCAGCAGCAGCATCTGCTGCTGCTGCAGCAGCTGCTGCTGTTGCTGCAGCAGCACGAGCAGCAGCAACGGCAGCGAGCATTTTGTCTGTTGCTACAGAGCAGGTCTGGGGCATTAGAGAGGTATTTAGGTGTTTTTAATATAAAAAATAAGTTTAATTAAATTAATTAATATAAATTATTTTGTATTTAATTATTTTTTTTAGGGTTTTTGTTGCTGCTGCTGCAGCTGACCGCTCCGGGGTCACCTGGGAGCGGGCAGGGGGCGTTTGCTGCGTGTGTGTGTATGAGCAGCAGAAGAGATAGGGTTTTATGTGTAGAAAGGAGAAAAAAAAGAATAAATAAAAAATAAAAAAGATTGTTTCTATCTTTTTTTTCGTTTCTATTGTAAGAGCGCAGCAAGCAGGCGCCAGGCATCCGTCTCCCTAACCCCTGTCGCCTGCTGTCTCCTCCTGCTGTCTCCCTCCCCCCATGTGTGTTGTCTGGGGCTCTGTATGTGGGTGTGGCTGTCTTATATTAATACAGCATTACATTTGTGTTTTGTTTTTTTTTAATTTATTTTCTTTGGGTTTGAGCTGTATCCCCCCCCCCCCCTNTTATAAAGATAAAGGAGACACTGTATATATAAGAAAGCAATATACTAGCTTGTTTACTACTTTTTTTTTTTCTTTTTTATATTTGTATATAATATATATTTCTGCTGCTGCATACAAGCAGCACATGACTATGAGGGTCCCATTTGTATTGATGGCCCTGGGGGCCCTCGGGGGGGCCCTTGTTGATGGGGGGGCCCTAGAGGGGCCCCCTGCAACACAGACATCTACGAGTCCAGGTGTATCTTCACCTCGTTCTATGGATTGTTTTGAGTATGGATATGATTACTATGGTCATGATATGCAGGAGTTATTAGATATATCTTCTCCTTATGCATGCATGCAAGAATGTTTAGCTTATAAAGCTTGTGGTTTTTGGAGTTATAATACATTTCTACGCACATGTTATCTGAAATCTGTGGGGTCTGTAGTCGAAAGGAGACAGTCTCCTGGTACAGTCTCTGGTCCCCGTCAATGTGGTTTTTCTTCGACTTGTTTTGAGGTTGGTATAGATTTATATGGATATGATATAGAAAGAATAGAAGGAAGATATATTATGAATCCTATAGACTGTCAACGTTTATGTGAATCAAACCCTCAATGTGCTTTTTTTTCGTGGAAGTTTTCTTCTCATTCATGTTATCTTAAGAGTGCTCCAGCAATACTAAACAGAAGAGAAGACCCAGACGTAACATCAGGGCCTCGCTCTTGTTCTGTATCGGGTGTGGTTTCTCCTCCTACACCAGAGGATTACCCTGTCCCCTTTGACCCTGCAGATGCTCCCCCTTCTTGTGTTGCTGCTGGTGTTGATTATAAAGGGTATAATATAAAAACTGCTAAAGCTAGGTCTTCTCCTGCATGTCACATGCTATGTATAAAACATAGAGATTGTGAATACTGGACCTGGAGCTCCTCCTCTCATATATGTGCTCTAAAGACAGCTGATGCCCCACAAGGAAGAACAGAGGGACAGCATACACTCGATAAAGTTTCAGGCTCAAAAAAATGTGTCCCTCTACTCCCAGGTAAACACACTGTCTCCTTTTTATTTGTCTCCTTTTTATTTGTCTCCTTTTTATTTTTCTCCTTTTTATTTGGCTCCTTTTTATTTGTCTCCTTTTTATTTGTCTCCTTTTTATTTGTCTCCTTTTTACTTGGCTCCTTTTTATTTGTCTCCTTTTTATTTGTCTCCTTTTTGGGGGGATGTTGTCTCCTCTCTCTATCGACATACTTGTTTCTGTCTCCTCTAGCATCACACACAAAAATTTATATAAAGACTCTTCTTATCTCTTGCTGTCTTTGTGGTTTTATTTCTCTCTCTTTACTTGTGTTTTTACTTTTGTCTCTTTCTGTCTCCTTCTGTCTCCTTCTGTCTCCTTTCCTGTCTCTTCTTATAACTCCTTATAAATCTATCCACAAAACACCTACTACCAGCAAAAGTACCTAAACACCAACACCACAACTACTAATACAACTACCACCACTCCTCCTCCTCCTCCTCCTGCTGCTGCTGCTGCTGCTGCTGCTGCTGCTGCTGCTGTTGCTGCTGCTGCTGCTGGTGCTGCTGGTGNCCTGCTGCTGCTGCTGCTGCTGCTGCTGCTGCTGCTGCTGTTGCTGCTGCTGCTGCTGGTGCTGCTGGTGTGTTCAGGGTGTCACTTTGCGGATGTAGGTGTGGTGGGTGCTTTGCTGAGCCAGCGTCAAGCCTCCTCATACGACGTGTGTCAGGTGCAGTGTGCTGCGTTTACTGGGTGTACACATTTCTCCTTTAATATATCAACAGGAGACTGCAGCCTCTGGGCCTCTTTCAATACATACTCAAAAGGGGCATCGACAGAGGGACTCGTATCAGGCCAAGCCTTCTGTGATGCTGATGGTATGTGCAGCAGCACCAGCAGCAGCAGCAGCAGCAGCAGCAGCAGTAGCAGCAGCAGCAGCAGCAGCAGGAGAGAGTGGTGGTGCTTGTTGTCCCCTTTTTTGTGGGGTGTCTCTCTTACTCCTACTTCTTTTTCACTCATTTTGTCTCTCTCTTATTTCTTCTTATGAACCCTCTTCTTACTGTCTCCTTTTGTCTCCTCTTTGTCTCCAATATATACATTTATATAATATATATAATATAAAAGATATATATATATATATATATATATATATATATGTGTGTGTGTGTTTCTGGTTTGTTTGTGTGTTTTTTTTTATTATGGTGAAATGCTTAGGCTGCCAGTCTTGTTTGTTTCCTACATAAAAAACCGTGTATAAAGTATTAAAAAAGAATATAAAAACAAAATAAAATTATATATATATTTAATATATTTGTAGTTTATATTTTTTGTTTTATTTTCAGAGGTATGCTTCGAGCAAGCTGACTACGTGGGCCACAACATAGAGGAGAACGAGACGGGTGAGGTAGAGTCTCCAGCAGCATGTCAGTTGCTGTGTCAGCAGAACGTTGAGTGTTTTTATTGGACTTGGCTCCGCAGCAACAAAGGGTGTTATCTAAAGGACTCAAATGCACTACAAGGAAAAACTAATGATACCACTTCACTTGGAAGGTTCTCTGGGCCTAAGTATTGTAATATCAGCTATGGTGAGTATATATATATATATATATATATATATATATATAT